GGGGTGAGCGGCTGCCCCCAGCCCCCCCCACTCTGCTTTAATCACCGAAATGATGCTAATGAGGCCGTCTGTCCCGCCGGCGTTAGGGTGTCATGGTAGGCATGGGACAGAAGGACAGCTATGTGGGTGACGAGGCGCAGAGCAAGAGGGGGATCCTCACGCTCAAGTACCCCATCGAGCACGGCATCATCACCAACTGGGATGATATGGAGAAGGTGAGACCCTCCCCGCCCCGGGATGGGGAGTGGATGCTGGTCCCCGTTTTGGTTTGGGGTAAGACCCCAATTCTCCTTTGCCCACCTTAGATCTGGCACCACTCCTTCTACAACGAGCTGCGCGTGGCCCCCGAGGAGCACCCAACCCTGCTCACCGAGGCTCCCCTCAACCCCAAGGCCAACCGGGAGAAGATGACCCAGGTAAGGTGCTGCAGGACCCCTGGAGATGATGGAACAGACCCTCCAAAACCGCAGGAAGAGCTGGAGAATTTGGGGCTTTAGCGAATCAGGAGGGGCTGGCGTGGGGTGGTGGAGCAGGTGGTGGGGTGAAGCTTGGAGCTTTCATAAGGACATTAAGTGCTCACCTGCTGAAGTGGACCCAGGAGCTTCTCTGCAGCATGTGGACCCACGGGGTTTGCCACGCTGACCCACATAGTTTTCCACACCATGTGTTGACCCACGTTCTTCTGCGTTGACCCACATTCTTCTATGCAACCCACCAACCCCCGTGGTTTTCTCTGCGGCGAACTGACCCACATGTCCGTGCAACGCAACAATCCACCCGTTTTTCCACACACCCATCTCTCCGGGACGGCGCGGTCCCCATGGGTTGGGGGTGGGAAGCCACTGGGGGACCCTCGTGCTCCCCCCTAACCCGTTGCCCCTCTCACCTTCCCTCCCAGATCATGTTTGAAACCTTTAACGTCCCCGCCATGTACGTCGCCATCCAAGCCGTCCTCTCCCTCTACGCCTCTGGCCGCACAACCGGTGAGTAGGACACGCGGCATCTACCACCCAGGGACCATCCATGATGAGGAAGGGACCAAGCCGGCTCCAAACCCCGTCCCTCACCTTCCCCCTTTCCCAGGCATTGTCCTCGACTCCGGGGACGGCGTCACCCACAACGTGCCCATCTACGAGGGCTACGCTCTGCCCCACGCCATCATGCGTCTCGACTTGGCTGGCCGTGACCTCACCGACTACCTCATGAAGATCCTCACCGAGAGGGGCTACTCCTTTGTCACCACCGGTACGGGGCTGGGGAGGGGGGTACAGGGTGACAGGGGACGCTGTGGTGCCGCCACAGCACCGGGTTGAGCCTGTTTGCCATCGTCTCCCACAGCCGAGCGGGAAATCGTGCGTGACATCAAGGAGAAGCTCTGCTACGTGGCTCTTGACTTTGAGAATGAGATGGCCACGGCCGCCTCCTCATCCTCACTG